GTGGGGGCGTTATAATGTGACGGTCAATCCCAATAAAAAGAGTAGCACAAGAGTTGGCGGTGGGTGGTGATGACTAGCTGCTTTCCCTCTAGTCTTACGCTGCTAAATTAGGGACGGCTAGTGCAGATAGCCTCGTGTAGCTTTGCGCGAAATTCAAAACAAACAGACTTTACATACTCTTAATTACACCAGTACATTATTTACTGAGTTATTCTTAAGTTTTGGTGTACGTTTTTGAGTTTGATTTGATCAGAAATGAGCAATAATTCGACCTTTTTTGAAATTAACTGACATGTTTTAACTTTTAAAATTTTATCACGAACTGTGGATATCTAAAGCATTAGAAAAGTCGGGGCTACAGCATTTTATTTGTCAAAAACATTCTTCGAAGCGTACAAATAAAAGGTAGGAATTGAAAATTTTGTGACAGAACTGTTAAAGTCTTTCATTTTTTGTTCTATAAGACAACCCACGGAAGTTACTTCGCTTAGAGAAAAATAACGCCTGTAATGGACGTCAGTAAGCCTAATATATTATGTGTTAAAAAAAATTTTCAATTGTAAGTTAACTGTCATTAAGTTAGGATTTAAGAATACAGACATAATGGTGCTTCTTTCAGCTCTAATAAGGGACAAACTCCCGCCTTTAAAGATTAAAAGTAATTCTCTCCAATGTGAACTGGAAGCGTGTGGGCCAAAAATTATATTGTGTGTGTGTGTGTGTATATTAAAATGCCTCTTTAAAACAATTGTAACTATCAACGCTGCAGTACAGATATACACTGTTAATGTCTTCATTGCCCTGAACACCATCACCTACGCCTACATGTGAATTTCAGTAAAGTCCGGGTTTTTATCCTTTAATGATAGAAATTTATGACTTCAGACTATAAGTTTAGTCTTTTTTTTTTTCCCACAAGATACGGTATCCTTTAACGTAGGCGTTACATAGAGTTATATCTATAATACAAATGGAAGCTGGAGTGGCAAGTAGAGCATATATTTAATATTAATTGACGTTATAGAAATTAAGAATGACTAAAATAGCTTCCATGTCACTTTTCTTTAGAATTAGTATATATAATGCGGATAAACGTCGCCCCCTAGTGGCACAGCAGTTTGTCTGCGGACTTACAAAGATAGAAACCGGTTTTCGATACCCGTGGTGGGCAGAGCACAGATAGCCCATTGTGTAGCTTTGTGCTTAACTTCAAACAAACAAACAAATAAACGCATCTGCGCGGAAAAATTAGCCACCTAGTAGCATTTACACGAACTAGTCAAACAAAGCAAAATGTGTCAGGAATTTTTATGTTTTAATTAAGTACAAATGAGATAAGAGTAGCCTAAATTAAATGAATTCACGAAAAAAATTTTACTGTTGAACATAATATTCACGAATTTATCGTGTACAAAGTAAAATATTTTTCTAAATAAAATACTTAATACTCGCTCAAATAATTAATTACACAAAAATTAATATTCATGCTAGTTTTTGAAATAAATTCACTCATGATTAAAATCACTTATGACATTTGTGTAATTATGTGACAAGTATTAACTAGACCTTTTACAGCGCCCTCCAGTGTCTCGGTGGTAAGTCTAAAGGCTTCTAATGCTAAAAAATCGGGTTTTAATACCCGTGGTTGGCAGAGCACAGACACTCCATTGTGTAGCTTTGTGCTTAACAAAGAAAAGCGTTTAACTGTTTAACCGGGTCGGGTGGCGACAGTTTTAGCTTTACCTACTTTTTTTATGTAAAAGTTATTTACGAATTTCTGATGAAGTATTGCAAGTAAAAGGTCATTAGGGCGTCTGATTTAAGCCTTTGTTCTGATTCTGTTAATAGCATCAAGTTCTACTACTTTGAAATATTACTGCTGTCATATAGTTCATTCACTTAACAATTCCACCAAGAATTTATATTTATTTATTTATTTATTTCCACCAACAATTCCACCATTGGTATAAATAAAGTTCAATAAACTTTTACTGTTTTAGAAATTTTATTTTTCTCAAAACCTTCAGTGTGGCCCCCTAGTGGCACATCGGTATCTCTGCGGACTTACAGTGCTAGAAATCGGGTTTCGATACACGTGGTGGACAGAGTACAGATAGCCCATTGTGTATGTAACATTGCGCTTAATTACAAACAAACCTTCAGTGTGAAAAGGACATCTGGCGGCGAGAAAGTGAACCTTAATGAAATGAAACAAATACTTATTTTCGCTCGATAATTCGAAAGTTAAACGCTCTCCGTTTTTTCTTAAATATACAAAGTTAATTATAATCTTATGTGAGGTCATTGATCTTTAATATATTCCTCTCATAAGCGGCGGAAGTCCTTTGAATCTGGAGGGGGGCACCTTTCGAATTTTTTCTGATTTGGCAAAAAAAAAAAAAAAAAA